CCAGATCTACACTCTTCCCCTACACGACGCTCTTCCCATTTGTCTCCTCTCTTTCCCGTTCCTCTCCTCTCCTCTCCTCTCCTCTCTCTCCCTCTCTCTCTCTCCCTCTCTCTTCTCTCTCTGTGGAGTTCCGACTGCAGCTGGGTCACCAAGTCATTGCCAGTTTTCAGCATCCGCTCCTGTGCTCAACCAGAGATTCACAGCTGAATACCACCAGAATTGCCACCTTCCATCTTCAAACTGCCAAGATTCGTAGTTTTCTCTATCCCACTTGTCCAGGGTCAATGAGAAGACTCGACTGATGTGGGCGCCAAGACTTCGGTGTCTTCCTCACATCGCGCCACGACGCGTAGCGCAGAGTGACGAAGTCGGCCGATCGACCCAGCAGACCCGGCCGATCGACCCAGCAGACCCGTGAGCCCAAACGAGCCCCGAACAGCGAGCCCCGAACAAGCTCCTGCTGCATGTGAGCACAGCACCACTCCAAAGGAGATGGATGCCCATGTTGGCAACAGGGAAGTAGCATGGCCACAGTCGGCGCCTCGGAAACCAAGTCGGCACCAAGGATTTCCTCGGAAGAGTCTTCAACAAAAGAATGAGCTTGAAAGGTAAGCAAAAGACATGTCTGGTTGCCAGGCATATCGATGATTTTCTTCACCTACAGGGCACATTGACCAACAAAAGATCAAAAAAGAAGCGAAAGACGGTGCATGAGACGGTGTCTCAGCTGCCTCAGCTTCTGTCAACAGCCTCGGCCACTCCTTCTTAAACTCTTTGTCTTCTATCTCTTGCAGCCTCGCCATCAGCAATAGGCAGGAGTCGAAGACACAGCAAAACACCCATGCGTTTTCTTTCTGAAAAACACAAAAAACAAAAACGTCTCGTCGTCTCCTCCTCCCCTGCCCCCGTAAGGCTTCGGCTGAACTTCCGAGGGGTCCATGGCTCCATCCGGCGGGGTCCGTGATGCACCGGAAGAAGCGACGAGGAAACCAACGAAACCAACGCGGAAGTGCTTGGGCGATCTTTGTTCTTGAAGGGGGTGCAGCAGCCGTCTTTTTGGGGGCGAGTTCCAGCTCAAGCTTGCAGACTCCGAGTGTCATTTTCTGGTGCATTTTTGGCAACTCTTTGAGGGGTATATATGTAATGTGTGTTGTTCTTTTCATCTCTGCGGAGTCTCTCTGATCTGAGAAAGGAAGAAAAGCCACTCTCTTAAACGACTCGGTGGACTTGTCACTCATGCTGCATGTTGCTCACCGATGTTCGTTCGTGCCCTTGATCTTGTTTCTCCTGTCTAGCAGTCTAGCATGCGTATATTTGAGATGTAGACACTGGCGTCTGGTTCTCATAGCTCTCACACATCCAAGATCTCCAAGGTCTCGGCAAACCGCAGCTTCTTTGCTTTTTCGATATCTGCTCAAAACATGAAACTCCTGCCCATTCCACCCTGCCAATTGACCGAAAAATCCATGCCCTGAAAAAATCCAGGGGACCATCTTTCTTTCTCCGAAAAGCCATTCCCGGCCTCCACGGCCCAGTCTTTCAGCTGATTGCTGTGCCTCGGAAGGACTGGAAGTTCCGATGGCTTGGGATGCCCCGTTCGTAGCGAACCTTGTTCCGTAGCGAACCTTGTTCCTAGTAGTACGGCCAGGAGCCCGTAGTAGCGTCCTTGCTCCTAGTAGTAAGGCCAGGAGCCCTAGTAGCGTCTCAATTGCAAACCCTCCAAACTTTGGTCTAAAATTCCAAGTCTTGGGGGTTTGAGCAGCCAAATGCTTTGAGAGCATATACTGTACGAAGTTATACAATGAGCATTGGCACCTGGTGTTCATCTGCCCTGCTGACCGTTCTTGCGTCGTCACAACTTCCTGACTTCTTCAGGCTCAAACGTCGTCGTCACCACTCTCGCGCCCATGTCAAGAAAGCCCTGGCAGCGCCCATGTCACAATGCTGCCAGCGCATTAAAAAGGACACGGCTGATCACCTCGGCACCGATCGCACCAGCCGGTCTTGCACCGTTTCACCTGCCACCGACGATCGCGCGCGCGGACGACGGTCGGCCTCCAGCATCGCGCGTGCAAGAGCTGCCCCTTGCTGCGGATCGGTGCCTGTCCCAGCCTGGGAGCGCCGAGCAAAAAATGGTGTCGTAGGGCTTCTCTCTCTCTCTCTCTCACTCCCTCTCTCTTTCTCTCTCTCTCTCTCTCTCTCTCTATCTGCCTCTCTCTCGCGTAATTCATGTTTGAAGGGGCGATAGCTCAAGACAAGGACCTCTAGGAGTATAAAAATGTATCTGCACAAGAGTTGGTGTCATTAACTAGGGCAAGAGATCTGTATAAGTGCTTCAAAGAGTGCTGTATCAAGACATCTGCACAAAAGCCATGCCTCATCGACCATCACAAGAGCTCGCGGCCCCACTCCCTGGGCTATGCTGAGCATCAACCTTGACCTCAGTGCCAGCGGCTTCAACTGGACTTGAGTGCCTGGAAGACAGTGTCAGGGATCCTATTCTCCAAACTGCTTGAGACCAAGCTGTTTTGCTTCCAACGCAAGGCGGTCTCAACGGAACCCTCCAACTCGGACCATCTGACTATCTCCAAGAACCAGCCGGTGCTGGGGGCCGCTTCAACCACCAAGGACGCAGGCTGCAATTGAATCGCCTGACTAAGGACGCTGCGCTACCAAATGAGCTGAGTATGTTGACAAATCATCCACCTCGGCCGATCGAAATGCAGCTGTTCAGAGCTCGCGTAACAGCTTTTCTGCTCAGCTTTTCGGCTCTTTGTCTTTGAGTAGAGACGACTGAGCGCTCTGCGAGACCCGATTCTAAGCCCAGGGCGATCGTCTGCATATCACCCACATCTGCCAGAACCACCTAGTGGAACAAAGCAACAACGTCACAGTGTGGTAAAGGGACGCGCAAGAGATCATGACAAAGAAATGGGATGAAAAGTAACAAAATGGATGTGTATTCGAACAGGGAAATTAACCAACCAACCAACCAACCCACCCACCCACCAACCAACCAACAGGTTTGATTCTATTCTTCGTATTCGTACAGATCATCAGTGTTAAATTAGATCTCCCCCATTCTGATACACTCCGCGAGAGCATCAGCCACACCTCGAAAAAGTCCACTCTTGGTGCTTCTCCTCCTGGAATTGGGATCCCACACCGAGCCTCACGCGGCACCGCACCACCACCGCACTTGCAGCACCGCCACCGCACAAAGCGCGCCGAGGTGCAGACCAACAGCGCGAGGAGTCCCAGGGTTTTCAGGACGACCGTCTTTCCACCAGCGTTCGGACCGGTGAGAAGAAGGCATTGGCTGGATTTGCCGAGCCTCGGTTCACGAGGGAAACCACTCGGCCGAGCTCCTGGTGTCCGGCAGATGGGTGGACCGAATAGGGCAGCCGGACAAGCACGGTCTTTTCCCATGAAGAAGGCCACCATTGGGGGTGCATGATGGTGCACCCCAAGCAACTCGAAACATCAAGAAACCACGTTGATGTGCTCAGGTCCAGACTCAAGTCGATAGCCAACCACCTCACGCAAATACAATGCAGCCAAGCACTCATCTGCTTCAACCACGAAGAAGAATGATTTAATTTGCTTCAAAACCCACACCCACGCACCCACCGAGCGCTCTCGGAGGGCGCGGGTCAACAAACGCGCCTTTTTCCCCCCACGAAGGACCAGGCAGGGATTCCGAGCCTGACACTCAAAGAAGGAATCCAAAAAGCAACCCCTGTTCGAGGAGGAATTTCCAATGGAGAAACAGACGGAGGTGTCTCGACCATGTCTCCCCAGTCTCAGAAAAGCAAAGCGAACCATGCCCCCCCCCCCCGCTCTTTTCTTTTGTGGTCGTCTCTGTCCCCCCAAAAAAGAAATTGATGGATGATGGTTTTTCAGTTCAAGTCCTTCTAACTTCGTTCGCCTGAGATTCTCACGTGTCGCACTGCAATGATCCCATCATCTCCCACTGTGGGCACCTCCCGAGACGCAAAACCGCCAAGCGCCGCGCGTTCGTTCCTTTCTTTCTCGGTGCCAAGTGGAGCTCCACAGTGGAGTTCGGTGCTTCGGAAAAAAGTAAAAAAGCATATATGGATCCTTTTTGGGTGGATCTGTCCTTCTCCCCTCACCCGTTCTTCTTTGTCCTCCTCCCCTCACCGGCAAGTGGATCCACTTCGCGGGACGACGGGTCGGCGTGCGGACGTTCGCCTCACCCTCCATATCCTCACCCAAGAACAAGCGAGCACGTGCCAGGTCGATATGAGCTGCGGCCTAGGCCGCATGAACAAGGCAGGCTGCGTTCAGTGGAGAATCTGTCCGAGTGATCGGAGTATCCCAGGCAAACGCGAAGTTGGGTGTGATTGGTTTCTAAGCATTTTGAGGTACCAGGATGTACCAGGTAGCTCAAATGATGGCTAAGCTGTCGGCTTTCAAACATCTTTCCAAAGCATCTGCGGCATGGCTGATGGCGAGCGACATGTTCCTCCCGGCTCTCCAAAATCCCCGGCAAAACGCCCAGAATTCTGCGTTTTGCCGCGAATGCAGAATGCACAAGCACCGTCCCCAGGATTCGACGAGCCATCCTCTCCAAGGCCTGAAGAGAGGCTTGAATCTTCACCTTTCTTAGTGGGTGAAGCATAGCGAGTTATGCCGCAACGCTGGCTTGAAATGTTGCCAACTCATGTCACTGGCCTTCTTTGATTGCTCAAGATCATCTGCGTACTGCACCACTTCATAAGGTTCCACGTAGGCAACACCTTGGAACCGTTCATGCTGCAGAACTCTCCTTCCGACAGAGTAGCTGCTTCAGTCCAAATCTCAAAATTGTGTGACCTCCATTCCCTTTTTCACTGCCTTCTTTGACCCCGGACCGTATCCTCTACAGCACCCCTTTGACCCCTCAAGCCCCAGACGACCACTTCGGGACTCATCAAACAGTCTGCCAACCTGTCAGGCTTCTGCGTCAGCGCTCCGTACAGCGCTCTCCGTACAGCGCAGGTGACGCCCAACCTTGCCCTTGGAGCGCGACTTGACGCCCAACACATAGCGCCTTGACGCCCAACCCAGTCAGTCTGCATCGCTTGGCAACGCCACTGATGTCCCAGAAGACAGAAGACTCTGCTTCTATGTCAGTCAGCCCGTCTCTGAGTGAGCTGCCCTCCAAACTGCATGTACCCATCATCAGAAAGATACGTTGAGTACCTGTCTCTAAATCTCTGTTGACATCACCATCACTCCTGCTTCATACTTCAAGTACCACCTTGCTGGTTGTCTTTAAACATGGCAAGTTGCATGTCCATGTTGAACAAAATTGGCACATGACTGCCCTTTTTGCACGCCAACGCCAGGCGAATCCAGGCGAACTCTGTGACTGTGACACGATCCCTCGGGTGCCGCTCAGGAGCTTCGGGCCACCCGAGGCTTGCCAAACAGTAGCAAGAATGCTAGTAGTAAGGCCAGGAGCTACTAGTAGCGACGCCCTTTGTTCCTGGTAGCCATGCCCAAAGAATCCAGTCCGGACTCAGACTTCGCATGGATTTTAGGACAGTCTGGAAGACATCATCCTTTTGCCTCCGCCAGCCAAGCAACTGTTGGAGACAGCCAGTGCCTTTTTGTTCCCCTTGTTCGACTCTTCTTTTATTCAATGCTGCCAACTCAGCTTTCATATGCGTTGCTGTTGCTTTCATATGCAAACTAAACAAACGGTACCAGCTGGGTGTAGAACGGTGTCTATGGATCGCCGCTCTTGCCGAGGTGTCTATGCTGTCCTGCTCCACAATCCCCACAAGAACTCTCTCCGAAAGCCACTGCCTTGTGCCTCTATTCATTTTGGCACAGGAAAAGGGACCCCCCAGAAAAGAGAGACGTCCGAAGCACCGGTGAAGACTTTGAAAGCACGATATGTTCCATCTTCATCTATCTCTGACAGAAAACGGGCGGTTTTGGGGGATGGTCGATCCCAGTCCTCGTTCTTGAACTCCATCTGGATGAAGGAGGAACTGCCCGACGTCGCCTGGGGCGATGTCTCCTTGCCCAAGGAGGTGTCCTGGCCACGAAGCAATCACAGGAACAGAAACACCATCATCGCAGTTCAATCGGAGTTAGCGGCCCCCGCCTTGACCACTCCAGTAAAGGAGCAATCAATTTCCAGCTGATCGCAGATATCCTCAATCGACTTGGGTTCTCTGAACTAAGACTGCCTCCTGAGTAGTAGTTCGAAGGGCTAGTGACTAGTGGTGGCGTTGTGGTTTGTTTCTCTAAATGAATGTTTCTATGCAGGCTTTCAGCATATTCAAAGCCAAGTGGTGTCCTTGTCCTCAGCTTGGCATTGCAACTCACCACCTCACTCCCGCAGGAGTTGCAAGGCAACGTCGAGTCACTCCGTTCGTGCACAGATTCGGATCCTTTTCTCGGTACTTCACATGGAAGAGACTCGAAGCACCCGTTCCACATGGAAGACTCCAGTTCGTTTTGCGACTCCGGAGACTCGCACCTTTTTTTGAACGAACAGCGTTTCCCTCGACGGAGCGACCTTTGCATGACCAAGTCATTCCATCGCACTGCCTCGGCGCAAGCGCCGAGGATCGGCGACAGCCCAGGAGTTGGTTCGATTCGCCCTGCCTCTCCTTCTCCTCACAAAACTCCGCCAAGCCGGTGCAGCTAAAGTCTTCGTCCTGCAGATCAAAACAACCAACCCTTTTGTTGCCAGATCAGAGAAATGACCCCTCTCTTCTACGAGCCTGGCAGCTGTATGTATCGGCCTTCGGCGGCCCAATTCCACACCGATAGTTCTCTTGCTGTCTATGACCTCCCTCTCTCCGAGACCGCCACTTCCTCGCTGCAGCCCTTCAGTAGTATTGAGCAGATGAAGACTAAGGCCGCTAAGGCCTTATGGCTTATCCAAGCCTCGGTGCACCGAGAAAGGCCAGAGCGGCCAGAACTCCTTCGATCATTTGGAAGGCGACCCTCTGGACACTTCGTGGGTAGCAAATGATTATATAGGACAAACCTCACAAAGGACTGGAAATCAAGAAGGAAATGTTAAAAACTTTGAGCTTTTGTCGATTCATGTTAGGAAGAGCAGGTGTGCCAATCACTGAGGGTCTGTACAGTTCTTTTCATGGCTGAACCTCAGCCAACAAGCAATGTGTTCCATGCGCGGGGCTCCAAATAACTAAAAATATTGATGTGAAAACGGCTGAGGCCCAAGCAAATGCAAGAAGTTGAAATTCACAAAAAACTGCCTTGATTCTTAAATGGTTGCGGTCAAGCAAGTTCACCTGAATATCTCCATCAAAACTCGCACGCATCGTATTTGGAACCCTTGATGCTTCAACCGAATTGGAAGAGGGCACTTGCCGCTGGAGAGAACCTCCCCCATCACTTTGGAGCAGGTCTCTTCCAATTCCCTGCGGGTCAGAGGGAGAGAGACGGTCGATGCTCCAGTCGAAAAGTCCCCAGGGTAAGGTCCTTCCAACTCCAATCCGTCAAAAAGGACGAAATGGACATGGAGACTATCTGGGTGGGCAAAAAAGAGAGAGAGAGAGAGAAGCTGCAAAGGTCTTTGAGGCGGCATTGTGACAAGTCAAAGTCCCAGGAAACACGGTCTGACATATCCAAGTGCTCCGACGACAGAGTCCAGGAACCTACCCACCCGCCTGATTCTCTCCCTGAGCTGACCCAGTTCTGGGAATTTCTTCAAAGAGAGCTCTCCATCCTCTTGGAACGCCTCCAAAACAACTCTGCAAGGCATCTAACCCCGCATCCACGTGCACATGACCATCGGATAGAAATGTCACATGCTTTCATCGCGGTATGCTCGCGGTATGCGTGCGCCACATTTCAACTGCTTCATAGGGATCATGATTCGTTTGTGCCGTCGACGATGCTCGTTTGGACTCTTCACACTTTCCCTCCTCAAGCATGATGTCCAGCAACCTATCTGGCAGCTCCTTGAAGCGCAAGTCAACCAGAGTGAAGCTTAGAAGCTGCAGTGATCGCTACATGGCATGTCATACGCGACACACTGGAGCGCGAACCAACGATCCAGCAAAATCGGAGGGTGAAGAAGACAGGAGACACCCTCCGATTTCTGGGTGTGAGTCTTTCCTCTTCCCATGGGTGCATTGGGGGTTCCCCAAGTCGAAATGCACAGCACATCTACTGTAGATCTTTTCGCCCGTCTCAGGCCCGTCTCACGAATGCTGAGGCCAAGACAATGTCTTGGCAATGGCCCATGAGTAGCGGAATGTTGACACCTCTCGCACTTGCTCCATCCAAACCTCATGACACACTTGTTGAAGGTAGGCACGCTAATATTGACTTGATGCTGCTATGCCTGCCTTGTAAGCCATGACAAAAGTATTCGACGTCCAAGGCAAATCTGCTCAACTGCAAGCTAACTGCTGGAAGGAACGAAAAATGAAGTTGAGTCATCCTCATATGAAAACTGTTTGAAAGTAACTGCTCCCTTCTTTGCACGAAGAAGAAAATTATTGGTCAGCAAACACACCGTACTGGTAGAGGTTTGATGAGTGTACCCGGATCCTTTTACCACCCACATGCTGGACAACACAAAGAGAACACATGTGAAGTTCCTCCTTCTACTTTTGAAAAGTGTTGAGATGTCATTTGCACAGTTGACACCTCAAGCAAGACACGCATCTTTATGTCGATGAACATCGATAAACTCTGCTGATAAACAAGTTGCTTCTCTAAAGAGACCTTGCTTTATGGCAGTGGACGGGGCCTCTATACACTTCTTCCAAGAGGGACTGTGAGCAACTCGAACGCAACCACTCCCAACCCAACTCCACTGTCGATTTCAGCCATTGAAGGAAAGCCTTTGACGTTCCCAGAGGAGCAGTTGTTCACGTAGGTCGTTGAACGATGCAAAAGGTTTCAGACAAATTGTGGTGGAACAATGGAAAAAAGAATGTAGCAAGCTTCAAGGAAAGGCTTAAGTGGTTTCATCTTCGTTTCAAGTAAAAAACAAATAAAACGTTCCTCTGAGAGCTACACCATTTCGTAAGCGAAGCAAGGCCTGCATTTCTTGGTGAGGGGTGGGATATCCTTCGTTCCACCCAAACGAAAGAAGAACAAAGAAACGCTCCAACTCACGTTCCATGAAAGCTGAAAACCTCCAGGCAATGGTCTTCCCAGGGGCCATTGTCAGATTCCATGTTGGTCTGACTGAGCATAGACGAGTAAGAGGAATTGTAACGTTGCCTCAATGGAATCGGACACCTTCTGCAGCTGGGGTGGTTCCTCAGTGATCGGAGAAAACCCGGTGCACGACACAATCGTTCAACACCCTCCGACCCGACTCCAGTTCGATAAAGAAACAAAAACCAGACCATCCAACCATCAGACTTATCATAAAATGTATGCAACAAAAAGAATGAAACGGCGAACACGCCTTCTCTTCCCAAACATTAGCAATCCTCGCACTGCTTTGGACATCACCTGCGTGGCTCCTCTCTTCGGTTTCCCAGATTCGCCACACTCTGGGCCCCCACACCAGCACGCGCCCGTGTCTGCATTGATCCACCTGTCGGAAGCGAAACGACATGAGTGTGCCCACATGCGGAGCATGCGGAGCACCAAACATTCGCCTCGGTCCTGATGTCCAATTTGGCGTCCAAATCCAAATCTGCATCTTCCAATTGTGTAAGTTCCACGACCAAAGCATACAATGCACGAGCTTCTTCCGGAGTTTGCGCTAACAGAACTTCTGGATCGATTGCCATTTCTGCAGCCGTTGCTGTGTAGCACAAAGCTTGCAAACGCTCAAGAACAAAATCCAGGTCCAAAGCTTCAAGGGTTCGTTGCTGCAAAGACTCTGCTAAATCTTGATCCACCTCTTCTCCAACAAATTCCTGGCCGTACTCGGCTCCACGCCTCACGACCGCAGTCCTTTTCGGCCAACGTTTTGACGGTGATCTGCGACAACGCGAATGTCTTCGCAGGAGGCCCAGCGCCATCAAGTCGACCAATGCGCACGGTCTCCAAATTCTGCTCGAAGCGGGTTTGTTCTCAACATCTTGCAGTGACGCAAAAGAAGAAACAGCAAACGAAGACGCCCCAATTCGTGGCTGCAGAACATCTTTTGAAGGCGAGGACAATGGATGCGAAAATGCAGCCATGGCGGAAAACACACCACGTGAAGGCTCACGTGCAGCGAGAATTCGTGTCCGATGTCGTGCGGGTGTCGCTCAATTCGAAGCAGAAATTGTGAATGTCACAAGGTAGAACTGATGATGTTGATGCACATTTCAGGAAAACAATGTCCTCCATTCACTGTGGCGATCGCACATGCCAGGTATTGCGCTGCGTCATTGGAGCGAAAGTGTCTGCCAAATCACACTCTTTGTTGTGTAACCAAATGATGGTCATAAAACACATGCAAACCAAGTTTTGGCATTCTCCGTCATGATGCATTCGCGGCAAAAGGGGTACCACGCAAAAATCTCAAATGGGCCCTGCCAAGCACACAACACTTAGTTCACCAGAAAATTACAATGTTGAAGGACAAAACAAACAGAGTAAGTTCAGCTCATTGTTTTTCACCTTGAGTGAACAACGGGGTGAATTTGTGCCATCGTTTGGATGGGTTTCACGACTTGAGCAGTGTGCCTTGCTCACAGCTTGACATACGCCATCGTTTGGATGGGCTTTGCGACTCGAACAGGGTGCCACGCTCACAGCTTGACACATCCAAAAGCACCAACGTCTTTTAGGTTCAGCGAATACCCCTAGCAGAGTGTCAAGCTTACAGCGTTACACACCCAAAAACACTGACGCCTTCTAGGTTTGATGAATACACCCATCGTTTGGATGGGCTGCGCGACTTGAACAGAGTGCCAAGCTCACGGTTCTGAAACAAGGGTAGAGAAGTGAGGTTCGAGCGGGGTTGGCAACTTGGACCACAAACCAAATCATGGCAAAGTCACGCCCTTCCCACCCAACCCTGGAACCAAATGTAACCGTTACAAGTGCATTAAAGACCTCTCCACCTCCGGTTGGATTCGTGTCTTAATTCACTTTAAGGTTTCAAAGTTCCAAGACATAACAAACAGAGTAAGCTCAGTTCATTCTTTTTCACCTTGAGTGAACAACGGGGTGAATTCGCGCCATCATTTGGATGGGCTTCACGACTTGAACAAAGTGCCAAGCTCACAGCTAGTGGCAAGCTCACAGCTTGGCACACCCAAAAGCACCAACGTTTTTTAGGTTCAACGAATGCACCCTTCGTCGCTAGTTGAACCCTGATATAATGTCGGCACATTCTTCAAAGGTCCCGAGGTTTCTGGATCCCAACGCCTGGACGGCAAATCCGCCAAGTTTGAAGCATTGCGCAAGTCTTTGCAGCAGACACAAGTCACGTGATGTTCGGCTCGTGCATGATGTTTCCTGCGGGATACACCTGTCAAATTTCACAAACATAGGCTGAGTGAAGAGAATAAGATTTGCCTTTGGGAATAAGGGATATCATTTATTGCATTAAGGTTTTTGCTAGGTAAATCAGTGAACCTGCAAAAAGAAACGTTTTGTCAATGTTCCGCGGCTATCCCCCAAACATCAGCACTTAAAACCCACAGTGTTCTTGGGCAGTTCTACTGTGTAGAACTGTGTCTTAAGTGTCCATAATACTGTTAGAGTGCCTGTGGGACATGATCAGGCCACACACTTCAGTCTGCAGAATTTGTTTTGGACTTTCTCGCAGAGACAGTAGTATTGTGCAGCAGCAGTTGCGTTTTTGCAACCCTAGAGCTAGAGGTTAGACTTCAGATCGCACAGGAAGGACCTCCATCCCACATGCAGTTGGTGGCGCAACCCAAAAGCCACACTCAGTGGAACAGAAACAACGCTAAAGGAGATGAAGTTCTTTTGTTTATGGTTATATGTATATATGGTTACTGCAGTAAGCCAAAGGGTTATTGTAAACAAATACCCCAAGGCCCAACGCCACACGCACATAAACAAACTACTTAGCTGTTCCAGAAGGCCATCTGTCACTCCAAAATTTGATTGAAACTACTTGAGTCTAGCCCCTTTGGCCAAACTCTCAGTGATAGATAGACCCTGGGCAATTTGCGCCTTCCTCTTCCTGCCCGAATTTGCTGCTGAAGCCTGAGCATTCTGTACAGTGGTGTTGGCGGTGTCGGGTTTGGCTTTCCCTTTGGCAGCCACCGACTTGGCCTTTGGTTCAGGCTGCGCCTTGGCCTTGGCCGTGCTTGCCTTCGGCGCAGCCTTTGCTTTGGACTTGGCCGCGGCCTGTGACGAACTCTTTGTTTTGGCCTTGGCCTTGGCCTGTGGCTTTGGCCCTGCCTTCTGCCCTTTGCCGGTTTCTTCCCATGGCACAGGCTCTTCACTAGGCGGTTCTTCTTCATCCATATCCTCTGCAGCTGCATCACTGCCATTGCTAACATCATCATCATAGATATCAATGCCGCCATCGCCATTGCCACTGGAAGCGTTGGGCAAACATGTCTGCGCCACAGTAGACTTGGGCTGCGACTGGTCAGGCTGCTTCTGCTCATGCTCTGGCTCTGGCTCTGGCGGCTTGTGTGCACCTGGGTCTGGGTTGGTGCTGGATCGGGGTTCATTGGCTCTGCACTCACAGCTGGTTCTATGGAACTAGCAGCAGCTGGCTCGGGATCCACTGGATGCATTGGATTTGGCTGCGGCGGGACCTCCAGAGTTGATGCTGACCCGGCTTCCATTGCCTCGCCAGAAGCTGATGGAACTGCAGCAACCGGTGGCTCTGGCGCTGGCTGCTGTGGAGGCACTGCTACTGCTGCTTCTGTAGGAGCTGGGAGTGGCTCTGGCTGCTGTTGGGTTGCTGTTGGCAACGGGGGAGTCTCTGCTGCTGGCACTGGCACTGGCGCCGGCGCCACAATGGTATCATGTTCCTTCTGTGGCGTTGCTGGCTCAGGTTCTGCCGGTGGCTCTGGAAGCTTCAATGATGGCAATGGAGAAGTTTCCTTTGCGTCATCCACCTCCGCCACCTCCATCTCCATTTGCATGGCTACATCATGCTGCTGATCCTTGTCAGCTCCGGTCTCCATGGATGCATCTTCATCTGCCATGGCCATCTGTGGCACAAAGTGTGCGTTTGCATTTTTCTTGCTGTTTGCCGTTGCAATCATGTCATTGATGGCCATGCTTGCTTTCTGCATCTCAGAATCAATGCTGGTCTCTGCAATTGCTTGTTCTGATCGAACACCAAGGTCACAGAGAATCTTGGCATCCATGCATTCCTGCTCCTGCTCATCCGCTTCACTCTTGACATCATTCAAATGGTCAGCCTTGGCAGCAGGGTCATCGTGGATGATTTCAGAAGACTACTCTCTAAAACCTATATCTATATTTATACTTGATTTAGGGAACTTTGGCTTCATGTCACATGTCATTCAAGTAACTAATGCAACCAATGTGCATGGATGAGCTGGCGAAGCTCTTGACTAGCAAGATAAGCATCAATGCGGCTAGCATCGTCTACATACCGACAGACTGGGATTAGTCCAAAGTCAGAGTCGGAGACCACTGTGTCTGAGTCTGGTCGTGGTTTTCTTCCATTACGACGCAAGCCATGCTTTGACCCGGCCTGGTTATTCCGGAGAATACCCAATCGTTGCTTCTGTTCTTGGATAGTCCAGGTATTCCAGCCAACACCATCATCGGGACCACTGCCGGAACGCATGGCTGGTGCATCAGCATGAGTGTCCTGCAATGCTTGGGCCAACAAAACAATGACCACCAGCCAGCATACAACAACCAGAACCAGAAGCAACCACCACAGGGACAAAAGAAACCAGTTAGTATGCAGTATGCACATTTAAACACACATAAAACACAATTATGAATGGCTCCTGCCCCTGCGTGATTGGAGCAGCAGGAGTTGCAGCAGTTGTAGCTTCACCATCACAACCATTCGACGCAGCCTCAGCCTCCTCAGCCACTGACTCAGCATGTCTAAAACCAGGCCAACCATCGGTCTCAGCCTCGACATAGTCGTGCATTGCAACCAGGCCAGCACTCCTAGCATTGATTATGTTGACCATGGATGTCACTGCAAAAAAAAAGCATCAGACTGACTGACTGACTGAAAACAATGAAACATAATTCATAGTAGTACTGAGTACTGACACACCAAAAAAATAAATGACTTGAGTGTGCCAAGAATCCTTGGGAAGCACGGTTTGATTGGATCAAAGCTTATAAAATCTGTGTATCCAAGCAAGCCACAGCTCATTCGGAAGTAAATGTCGTTGGTCACCACAGCCTTCTCGACCGTGAGAAACGATGCAGGAACAAACAGAACCTGATGGCTGATTAGGAAGAAAAAACCTGTTCAGCGAACAGAACAATTACAACAAAAAAGCACCGCACCGCATATAGACATAGTTTGGGGTGATCAGCAGCAGCATTTCTAGTTTTTCCCCTCACAGCTGCAAAAGTGACTAGAAAATTCAAGAGACATCTCCAGGGCTCAACCATGCTTGCTTCAGGCTTTGCAGTTCATCTGCTTGCTCTTGGGTGGAAATCTGTTCAAAGAACTTCACAGCCTTCAGGAAGAGATTCCATCCATCACATGAGTCATCAGGTTCCTGGTCCTTCATCATTGCAACAACCTGACATCAAGCACAGCAGGCCAGCAAGGAACACCAACCCCGGGACTTGGGACTCCTGGGACCCCAACCAACCCTGATCCTGCACTACAAGAATGAACACATAAATATCAACGAATAAAAACATAATATACAATTCTGAGTGACCTCAGCAATGGCTACGAGAGCCATTGCACGGTTGCCCTCAGACTGGAAGATCAAGTGTGGGAACAGGCCTGGCATCACGCCGCTAAAGGTAGACCCCTTCCTGAATGCCAGCATGTGCAGCTTTGAGAATGATGTTGCCTCTTGACGGGAAGCGCTTGCATGTGCAACTGCACAAGGATCCGGAGGATTGCCATCTGCTTGGGCCTTGGCGGCCTTGATCTCAGTTTCGGCAACTATACGGTCCATGGCCTGTTGTAGTTCAGGCCGCTCAACAACCAAACAAGGCTCTCTTGCTTGGATTGCCTCACTATCATTGGCCGCCTCATCCCACGCTTGTCTGATTGCATATTCAAAGGTCAGAGCTTCATTGATGGCTTGTGCTTGGTCAGAGCAGCACTTTGTGCACTTTGATTTCGCTGGGTCATTCTCGAACCGTTCAGCGGACTCTGAGATGAAGCCTTTCAATTCCGCTTGCAGCATCATGTTTGCATTGGTTGCATTCTTGCTGGAGAGCCCACTTGACTCCAAGATCTTCTTCAGAGGGAGCCGTCTGGCCCTCCAAATAACAGGATCACAAGTCAGGCTGCTGGCGCAAATTTTTTCCATTGTATCCACAACTGGCACTTCCTGTCCATACCGGTTCACAAGGATCGGAAGATCTTCATTCGTCAACTCTGCACTTCCTTTTCCACGTCTCCTTGCTGCTGTGGAATCCTCACGTTCATTTTCATTTGCTTTCCTCTCTGCTTCTGCAGCAGCCGTTGCAGCCTTTGCTGCATCCTTCTCAGCTTTCTTGCGTTTCCGATCTTCAGCAGTTTTTTCTTTGGCCTTTGCTCTCTCGAATTCTTTCTCACGTTTCTTTTTTTCTCGTTCATGTGCCCGCTGTTCCTCTAAACGGGCCTTTCTCAATGCCTCTCGAGTTGACTTGTATTGGGACGCTGATTGGTGAGCTGCATCAATGAAGTGCCTCGCAGTAGTGACTGTCCGCATATGTAGTTTTGCTTCTGCCAATACCTTGGGTCGGATTTCTTTTGGTGCTGGCGCTGGCTGGCTTTATCTATATGATCAGTTTATCAGAAGTCAAAGGGTTGAATTGAATCAACACATAAAGTAAAACTTCAAATAAACTCTTGTCTAAGTGACTGCATCCACTGTGTCTAGCAGCCTAGCAGTGTCAAATTGCTGCGCACCGTGTACATATAGCCCAAAGTGTGAATGCATTCTGGCACTACATCATAAGCAGTGGCAAAATATGCATCATTCTGGCACAAGTCATAGATGTTGTTTGCTGCCAGCTTGTTTGATTCGGGAGATGGTGATGTCTCTGAACTCCAAAGCTTAAGCATCTGATAGCGGCGCTTGATCTCATTGGCACGCATGTCAGCCTCACGCTGCTCCTTCCATTCTGGAAAAATGGAAAACAACCTAACCAAACCAGTTCTATAGTTCCACCCGAAGGAACAACTGCGGACACAAGCAGTATAGTATAGTTAACAAAATGTTGCATAATTTACTACTATATTAAAAACAGCACAAAGCAAACCAGCAGAGGAAAAACACACACACACATTGCCATCTGTCCTCCGTGTCAAAGTCATCTTGAATCATATTCAAAGATTCTTTGCATGCAGCGAATGCCTTCTCCAGCTTGCTTTCGAGCATATTGAAGTCTCTCAGTGTAGCCTTGCGAAGCTTGACAGCCGCTGTCACCGGGTCTGAACAGCCTTTCACACACTTGGTCAAAGCAGGGAAATCAGAATCAGTCTCAGCTCCAGAAGGCAAAGGCAGAGTATTTGAGCTTTTACCATGACCTGCGCCGGCTTTGCTTGGAGCAGCAGGACACTTGTCCATCAACATATCAGACAGGCATGGTGCAGCTGCTGATCCAGGTGCCCGCAAGCTGGTGAGAGATTGCTCCTGGTCCATAAAGATGGAGTTGACTGCCTGGGCCTTGAGTTGATCCAAGGTCAACAAAGCCTGATCTGACACCTGGCTTTGTTTATCCAAGTGCACAGCTGTTGAGTCGTCCTGGTGCAGCAAAGTCAAAAATAACCGCCAATTTCATTTCCAAGATTAAGATTCTTGTAATTGGCTTTGGTGATTTGAGATTTCCGGTTTGTTCAAAACCCTGACTATCACCCCTCTCACCTCCACTAGTCTGATTGTTTTCACAGCTCTACATGCATATGCAGCTGTATCTGTGTGTTCTCCTGGTAGTCAGACACTTTGACTTTCTCTCCGGTCTGCACGTACACCCTCCACACCTGTCATTGATGTTCACATGTATGCAGCTGCTGAACAGATTGTTTCTTTTCAAACCTATAATTGCTAGAAGTTTAAAGATTGATCGTTGACAACTGACAATTGGTTCTAACTTGGGCTTAGTTGCCATTTGTCCACTGACAATTCCATTGCTATCAAGGCTTTGTACTTGATCCTTTCGTACACTGCTTGACGTCATATCCATCGACCAGCGTCGTTTGGCTCCATCAGCTGTAAGCCCTAAAGCAAACAAAAACGACGCAAAGAGTTCTAACAGCTCAGTTGAATGAAGAATTATCAGCAACACACCAGCTGTATCCGGAGAAAGGAAAGGTCTTGCCAGTATTATGTCTCCACTTGTAATTGCCCTGTTGTGTAGAAATGTAAGCTTCAACTGAACTGACATTTTCCACCTACTTAATTTGGTCAAGGGACGTTGATATGATGGTGCTTTTGTTGTAAACCACTCCAGAAATTCTGGCCAAGCAAAAGGGGTCCACTGTTTGGAATCATCCATTCTGCGACCTGTTTGACTGATGCGTGTAATTGATGCAAAGTCATACTCTGGCATCTTTGCTGCTCTTCCAACTGCGTTCTCTGGCACCCTAAGAGAGAGAGAGAGAGAGAGAGAGAGAGAGGGTCACGAAAATAGAAGTCAGCAACAAAGTCTAAGAAGTCAACAACACAAGAACATGGATACCAAGCTACCCCTCGCAAAATTTCTTGAGGTGCATCAGGAACAATTCCTTACACAACTGCGCATAGCCACTGTGACAAGGATATATGAAACAATCCGACAAAAACAATTGGCTTTGGTTGTTTTGTTGGCTGAGATTCCTTGTTGGTAGCCTTCATCTGTACCAGTTCTTTGTCTTTACCTGCTCTAACAGCTTGGTCCATGAGTTTCTTCTCCTTGCTGAAGTGCTTTGTACATAGTTGCACCAACCTCATTTTTGTAGGACGGTGACGGCGACGGTAAAAAGACAGTGAGCGCAACAAAGGACACACACAAATACAAATGCTCAAAGAAACCCACCCAGGTCACCCAACACTGACAACTTAGGTCATGCAACAACTTTACTCGGTACTGAGTAAGCACTCCGCACACTCCGCATTGAGTCAGCCCTGCTGGGATTTCCATCTGCGATTCTACTATGGCACTGTTTGCCGGGTCTGCCGCCATTGGTGAAGATGCACAGGACACAGTCAGGCAAACACTGTAGCCCCACCTAATGTGCACCTAGTAGGCTAGTCTTGGCTCAAAAACTACAAAGTGACAAACTGCAAGTCTCAGTTGCCTCTAGGGTGAAATGCGATACAATCAGTGACAAGACTCAACTTATATAACATTTTTTTCTTTCCCCAACCAACCGTGAGTCACGGTGAGTCTTCCTGCACAAGAAGTTGAAGGTGAGGTGTTTGTTTCAAACACTCAGCCACGAAAGAAGACACAAAGGCCATCGTTCGAAACCAGGCCAAGAAAAGAAATCTGGCAGTGGTTGCGGTTGCTGTGCTGACGCAGAGGCTGCAGCCACAGCTACACCTTCGGCCACTGCAGTTGAAATGCCCTGCCAAGATTCAGGACATTGCCAAGTTGCCAATATCACGGCCCATATGCTTCCACAAACTGCCATACGCATTGCCTAAAAGTAACAAGGATGAGGGGTTGACCATAAACGACACCCACTCACTACTCAACCAAAAAAATGAAAATCACAAGCCACAAGCAAATAAAACATGTGGCACCAGACTGCTTAAGCTAAGAATCATTTCCTGCAATCTTCTTCTGAATGCCCGGAGATAGGCCATCAACATCAAACGGAGGATACGGTGTATGTTGAGCAAGGCATTGAAAAGCTGGTATGCCCATTACCGCCAAGTGCTCCTGAAAAAAAACAACATGTGAAGTGGAAAATGTAAATGGCAAACATTTCATGCAATGTCATATACACATTGCCCACTCTGGGATCCCATAGCAGACCAGTCAACACAAGTCGCGCCTGCTCCAAATATACGCAGTACCCGCTTGCTGTCACTAGCATCTGCTTTCGCCATACCAATTGGTGAGAGACAAACCTCCAACAGAGTAAGAAGCCATGCAGCCACACAGTTCATATAATCTCACATGGTGTCTTGTAATAGTGATGATGTGTAAGCACACAAGCAACACAAATAAAGAGCCTGTTTCTTGTGGTTTGATTTGAAACAAACCATCTCATCCAAGAAGAGTGATGGATCATCGAGGATTGCCATATAATCATCAAACATCTTCTTTCCGTACATACCCTTGAGAATTTTGTCTTCGTTGCTTCCATCGACCACATTCAGTTGACCTTTGCAAAGGGCTGTCACAGGTACAGTTCTAACGTACATGAAGTGAACATCAACGCTGACCTTGTTTATAGCGCAAGCAGTAAGTCTCCAACATTTTTCTTGCTGGTAGGTATTCATGATTCTCTTGGTCGCATTGTCCAGCAAATCAATACCCTCTTTTGAAATCTTACTCCTCAAGTCTCCTCCTACATGTAGATGTTGGTGATCCTGCCATGTCAGTCAGTCAGCCAAGTTCAGTTTCCAAGCTTGATTGTGATCCAGCCAGCAGCAGTGTGACTGTCCTGTGCTTGTGTCAGTAAAGCATGTCGACAGGAGTGATCACGATCAAATGCGGTTGCCAGCTCAATTTTGGACGCAGCGCCTTGCAAACGAACCAACACTTACACCGATACCTGAACCCAAAGCACTAACACACATGAAGAATCATTTGACAAGAAACATGATATGATAGGAGGTTAGGTTGTATCATATTAATATTCACAGTGCACTTGCATTGCAAAGCAACCAAATGCATGTAAAGCTGCAATGAGGATGCAATTCTGATGCAACACAGCGTTTGAATGCATTGAACTGTTGGACAAGGGAACTGCCGCATGTGCTCATTCCTGCAAAGTCCTCGTGGAGAACAATCTTATCACACTTTTCAAGCAGAGTGATGAAGTTGCTCCGTAGAGAATGATCTGCCATTAGAGTAGCGGCATTGTGGTCATGCCTTAAAAAGAGATCTGAAAAGGAAGCAGGACCACTTGGAAAGGCTTTGCTGAATGCCTGCAAGCATGTTCACAGGATGCAGGAGCAAAGAAGGAAGAATGAAACAACATGACAACTGAAAACATAATAGAACCATGTTTGGAAATGCTTTACATAGATAAACTCTGGCCGCTGGCCTCTGCTGTTTCATCATCATCATCATCGTTGTCTTCTGCTGTTACCAAAGCATCAGGTGCTTCAGCATCAGGCACAGGGTCTGTCTGGCACAACTTACGCTGTACCATTGCTGAAGATGCCACTAGAGCCAGTCTGGGCCAGTGTGTTGGAATTTGATCATGGAAGCATTGTACAGGTACAGTTGTTTTAAGATACAGCCATTTCTAACTAGCAGCTACCTGGAACCCTTCTAATGTTGTCCCTTATATTCTTTCCCACATTCACTCTCCCCTAGAAGGCAACATCAAAAGACAAAGACACTGCTTGCTACAGGCCACTACCCTCCCCCCCC